TTTTATTGCATGTAAGATGCCAACTCTTTAACATTTTGATAAGTGTACTCGATTATTACCGATTGAAGGATAAAACGAGATAAAATCATCTTATATTGACGTAGAACTTACGTAACATCGAGGTTACACCTAACAAAAATAAATTATACTATTACTCTGGTGGCTCATAACTTAAAGTAAAAACATACATAAATTGTTTTGTTATAAATTAAGCCGTTAGTTTTCTCAATTGAATTGTTTCATATTTTTCATGTCGGGGCCTTTTATATAGACGACTATACTGTATGGGTTTTTCTCATTGTTGAAGGCCGTACGGTTGCCTATAATTGCTTACATCCACTTTATTTGAAATTTGGCTGATCGTTGTCTCATTGGTAATCATACCTCATCTCTTATTTTTATATAAAATAGGGGCACTTTTTTGTATATTAACTGACTGGTTCTTTATTGACCCTGGTTTTATAGATTCAAGACCAGAGACCAGAATGCGTATTAGAGTTTCAGGTTAAGCTGTCGATTCGATCTACTTTGGTTTAGGCTGGTCAAAACATTATTTGCTAGAAACCATGCCAGGGATTATTTTCTATTTCTGTTTTCATTCCCAACTATCAATTTCAAATTTTGATTTTGATCGAAGTAATTTAATTGGACCTCTAAAACAGTTTCTGCGTCTTTCCGTAAATTGTCCTAGATGTCGAATCACTGATTTATATAAAGATAATCTTAACCAGATAGTTTCACCTTAAGTAAAGATAGGATCTAAATATGATATAAAACGGCGATTAACTGTAGTGTAGGATCATAATTGAAATAAACAGTAAAAGTCCTTTTAGATGTGATCAAAGTAGTGAGCGTTTGTGATTGTCGTTTTGCCGAATTTCCGTTAAGGTGCACGTTGAATCGAAATTAGAGTTGTTATACAACAGCATTTCAGTAAATGTTTGGGTACGAAACAACTGAATCGTGATATAAAAAGTATATAGTGTCTTTACTCGATTTCAGTTATCTAAATGAAACAATGGAAGTTGTTTACCTCTGTACAAAAAGTGGCATGAAACTTTTTATCTTTGAACATGGATCATGGATTTAGCAAAGACATAATCCTTCTTTTGATCATTTTATCTCACTCGCTTCTGATTTAAAAAAAAGTGGTGGGAGTGCAAAACAGTTAACGGTTGTTGAAAGGTCAAACTGTGTATTCATGATATATCAATACTAAACATCTTGTTATCAGTACCATGAATTTATAACATTGACCATTATCAATAACGGCTCAGTGTGATAAAAAGAATCAAACTGTCCAAACATTAGTGTGATAATAGAAACGCATTTATGAAAAACAAAACTGGTAAAGTTTTATAATTAAGATGTTACAGTAATCTATTGCCCAATCAGCATATTTATAGCGAAATAGACATGTAACCACTACATCGGAATTTATGAGAATAAAAAAAAAGAAATATTTTAATTAATAGAATAGAGAGTGGAAACGGGGAATTTGTCAAAAAGACAACAACCTGACCGAAGAGAGGAAAACAGCTCAATGCCACCAGTGGGTCGTCAACGCAGCGAGAAAATCCCTTACTAGGAGGCGAGCTACAGCTGGTCTCTAAAAATAATGTATACTAGTTCAGCGAAATGGACGCCGCACTAAACTACGAAACATACAAATGATCCAAAATAAAGATAAAACCACACAAGACTAACAAAGGCTTAAGGTTCCTTCCTGACTTGGGACAGGAGCGATACATTAGGTAATTAGTATATATGACTATTGAAAGTAGTCATAGAACATTGAAAAAGAAGTTTTTGATTATGAAGCGAACTTTAAAATGGCCTACTATAAAGTACAAACATGTCTTTTCATGAATAAAAACTTACAACCCCGATAAAATATATATATATATCGGCTTTCTGTTACTCTTATGAAACAAAGACATTAACCTTGTTTTGTTTATCATCTTCAAATATCAGATGCGTTTAGAAAAAAAATCGACATTATAGGATATTTATTTTTTATATATTGCGTGGTTTATCAAAGATCTTGAAGAATTTTACATTTTGCATCTGTTATTCTTGATATTTATCAGAAGATGTAGAAAGCATGAAAATACTGACTTGAAACAAACTAATTAGTTAAAATCTTTCTTTTCGTCCATTTGTTTCTAACAAAAGCAAACAAAAATCGTTGAAGGTCGCATACATTGATTTATGCATGACGAGACTTGTACTGCACGGAATCTTGGCAAGCAAACATATGCAAGTAACACGACACAAAATTGGCAACTAACAAGGAAAAGAGATTACGATTTAGTTTAATTTTCAGTAAAACACATTTTGTCAAAAACACGTATTTTAATAAATATTTCAAATATTCTTGCACCATGCTCAACCCAGATAAAATATTGTTTACACGTTACAAGTTCTACGGCCCGAAGATTTCAGAAATCGGTCGATCATTACAGTGCCTTAGTTACTCAAATTATTGGGGACATCTGAAAGTGCGATGACCTATAGTAACTGTTGTTAACTTCTATTATTATTTGGTCTCTGGTGGAGAGTAGTCTCATTGGCAATCATAGTGATACCACATCTTTTTATTTGTATATGGCATAGATCACACGTTCCCTATGAGATATCTTACATTTATAACCATTTTTTTTCATTAACCTGGCTTAATATGATCATGACCATTGTAAATTGCCTCGAATCGTATGACGGGCGAGGCAGGTATATCATATGACGGGCGAGGCAGGTATATCATATGACGGGCGAGGCAGGTATATCATATGACGGGCGAGGCAGGTATAGCAGGAGACGGCCAGGCAGGTATAGCAGGAGACGGGCGAGGCAGGTATAGCAGGGTAGGGGCGAGGCATAGCAGGAGAGGGGCGAGGCAGGTATAGCAGGAGAGGGGCGAGGTAGGTATAGCAGGAGACGGGCGTGGCAGGTATTGCAGGAGACGGGCGTGGCAGGTATAGCAGGAGAGGGGCGAGGTAGGTATAGAAGGAGCGGGGCGAGGCAGGTGAAGAAGGAGAGGGCGAGGCAGGTTTAGCAGGAGACGGGCGAGGCAGGTATAACAGGAGAAGGCGAGGCAGGTATAGCAGGAGACGGGCGAGGCAGGTATAGCAGGAGACAGGCGAGGCAGGTATAGAAGGAGAGGCTTACCATGTTGACACACCTGATCTCACTCCGATTGGTGTTAATTCGATTTTGATTGTTTAAACTGTTCAAACATGGATTAATGAAACAATCAACAGAACATAGGTGTTCTATCTGTATATTTGCCCCCCCCCCTCCCCCTCCCCAAAAAAAACCCAACAAAAAACGACAATAAAACAAGAACAAAAGAACAACAACAAATATCAAAAGCAAAACAAAATACCCCAAGAAAATTACCATTATACTATATCAATACATATGTACTACAATATTAATATATTTAGCCTTGATAAAAAGTATTCAAGTAAACTTGAAGTAGAATTTCATAATTCATATTTGAATACATTTGTTTTTAATATAATTTGATATATCTCATTTTCTGTATTTTCGTTGTTGTTTAAGGCTCGTTGAACCTTTTTACGTTATCAATAATACTTCCTAGCGTACACATGAAATGACAACATGGGGTACTTTTTTTATGAAAGCTTTCCGTAACAGCCAAAATTTTCAAGGGAAAGCAAAAAACAACCGCCCCCAATCTGGGAGTAATCCAATTATACAGATAGTGTGCATGCAGCGTTAGTATTTATCTTATCTCCTATGATTATTATCTGTAATCACTATCAGGTGCTAATGTACTTCACAGATCCAAGGACATAATTGGTGCCAGCCGTAACGGTCAAATATCATAATGTTTTATTGCGTATTGGCGTAATTATCATAATTATAAAACTAGAGGTTCTGCAGATATCAATAAAACACCTCCAACTAATTTATTGTTCATTAAATCACTAAGGTATAAATGATCATTTCCCCCATTAGCAAACTTTGTATAATTTATAAAAAATGACAATGCAGAATGAAGGAAATAAAAAAGAATAATAAAACAAAAGCAAATGTATCAAAACAATAATGTCTCCGGTATGTCAAATTAGTCATATATATGATATTAAAACAATATATTTACTTGAGACATACAGGAAATGTTCTCCAAGTGACTAAGATAGGTGTGACAAATCAAGTGAAGGCCATGTACTCACACTATCTAACGGTAGTCATTGACTTTTTGTATCTAATAACAATATTTACGACAAAGAAAGACATTCAATTCTCCCCAAAATAGCTTCGATCGGAACAGAGCCAACACAATGTGAAAGAGGCGAATACAGTGAAACCGTATGTCTCCAATTTAACTGTGCTCGAATCTTTTTTTACCATACCAAAGCTTGAAACTTAAAGTTTAAGTGACATTCACACAAAACTTTGGGGAGCATCCACACCAAAAGAGTGTAAAAAAGGACAATTACGCCAGATGAAGTTGCAATCTTAGTTTTTGGTACAAGAACATAGTTTGTCTTAGAAAGTATCAATTTGAATAACGACCGTACCGAAATAATATATATATTATTAGTTAGCTGTCCGTATCAATATTTGAAATGATTAAATATGTGTGTTGTGCGTGTGTTTTTAGAGAGAGAGAGAGAGAGAGAGAGAGAGAGAGAGAGAGAGAGAGAGAGAGAGAGAGAGAGAGAGAGAGAGAGAGAGAGAGAGAGAGAGAGAGAGAGACTTATCACTGCTTAGATTAATAATAATGATATCATCTTTTAGGATATTTTATCAAAAGCAGAAACAAAACAGATGCACGAAACTAAAATTATGTAACAATTTATTCAATCCATCAGGTGGTATAGAGGTGAAAAGTGCATGGACACAGATTAAATTCACGTGCAATAACACTTCAAATATTATCAAGTTTTTTTTGTTGGTTAATCAAAAGCGCGTATATAAGTTGCATTTTCTATTAGAAGAACAAGGAGAGAAACTAAAAGGGCACTTACCACTGCCTTCAAGGTAAAATTCCGACCTCTACAACGTCACGAAAGAACTTCCACTGAATCTATAATATATGTAGACATATGATATCTGGCAACATGCAGAGTAGAGAATATTGAATGCACGTGTATTTCTGATGAGGTGATCTAATAGTGTTTACACGACAGCCCGTTAGGGAGTATATGTTAATCTTTGCTGAAAATTTGTCTGATTTAATACTTAAGGGAAAGTTAGCCAATCAAAAATCAGATTGATGTTTTGGAATTTGAAACCATCTATCGAGTGAAGTGAAATGTAAACACGTTTTCGTAGGAAAACAAGATAAAAAATAATGTGTTTTCAAGTGCTTTGGTTGATTGTAAAAAAACTTCTACATATCGGAATATATTTCGATGTTATCAAAACATGAACTGATGTGGTGGCCAAGTTTATTGGAAATCTGTCAGATTTCTTGTAGAATATACTTTTTTTTTATACCTTCTAAAACATGACAAATAAATAAATCCAGGTACTTTCTTCAGTTATTAGAACATAAGTTTATGATGACGTTTGCAATTAAATGCCTACAGCTCCTTGTCTGATCATTCTTTATGACGTCATTGGTACAGATCTTAATTGTAACTCGAATTTTTTCCAGGTCATCTATTGTAACACAAACAAGTCAGGCCTAATGTTTGAAACTCCTATTTATGATTAAACAAGCGGAACTCTATAGCTTATTCTTTTCTAGATGTACATATAACATGTACTGACTAAAAGTTAGCATTTACGTCGCAAGCTCCAAATATTTAAAAGAATTCGTGTCGTAAATCAAACAGATGGCACGTCTGTGACTTTCGTGATGTAATATCAGAACTCTCAAAGGTACACTTACATGTGAGGCTATCATTTTTCTTACATACGGTGGTATTTTGTTGAATTCATTAATATTTCGATCAAGCAGTTTTTATTACATCGCGATGACCTTGAGGTCATTCCGATGTATTGCTATCGCCTAGATTTCCATTATGTAAATTAGTTTTGGGTTTGTAACCGATCTATAAACATGATAAATATGCGCACATAAACGAATGCAAAATAACATTCCTTATCGTTTGATATAAATACATCTCTTCAATGAATACTGATAACATATTTTTGTTTACAACATAAATTAATAATATGAAAATGTTTTGTAGTTAGATATATATATATATAAGTAAAAAATCATTGATAATATCAATGCACACGTACCGAAAAATTGTGTTAAAGCATGCGGAAGAATATCTCAAAGAACGTTTTGAAGGACCGGTAACTCTGTAATTGTTTTTGCGGGAAAATATGAATGCCTACTCGTATCCAATCTTAGAAAAATCGAATTTTTACAGAAAAGTGTCCCCCATGCACTTGCATTGCACTATTATTAGAATAGTAGAATAGAATGATATACAAATGGATGAAAATCATATATGTATGTAACTGTTATTTTAATATAATATATAACAACAAATCAGTGTATACTGATTTGTATCACTACAATATAATACATGTAGTTATTACGGTGAATCCACGCACGAACTTGTCTCAGAAAAAAATATATCTCTGTACATTTTCTGAGACAAGTGCTTTTGACCATCCTCAAGAACTTGTGGTCATCCGATGTTCAGTACTTCAGTACTTTGATTTCATCTGAATCCTAAGATGTTTGCAAGAAGTTATTTCAATTTTCCAATGCAGTATTCGTCGAAAAGGATTGCTTATAAATAGTTTTACAGTAACAATATATTCAGCCAACTGATAGTGGAGACACGAATGAAGCTGTATGTTCATATGAAATCAAATAAAGCAAGCAAGTTAGGAAATATTAGATATTATCCGAAAAAGTACAATTTTGTAAATTTTTGTTTTGAAGGGGAAAACACATGTTAAAAGCAACCCTGATAATAAAATATTCTGGAAAAAAAGTGTTAGAATCGGCGTTTAAAAAAAAAGAAGTTCATTTGCGTCAATTCAAAGATAAACATACGCGAAACATAGTAACAATTATATAATTTTTAACCGGGTTTTTCGAAATAAAAATCCGGATATTAAAATGTGAAGTACTGCGAGCGTATAAAACACAGCGCTTATATTTTTGATTTCAAAAGTACATGTATGCAGCAAACACGTTACGGTCATAATAAGTAAACTGACATTTTTTGTATAGAGTATTTGTAAGCAATGTTAAAGTAGACTAGACACATGCGCAATATCTTTACGATTTGATTTTCTGACACAATTGCTTTAATATGCATGAAATATTTGCCACTGGACGTTAAATGAAAAAAAAAAAAATCAAATTAATCCGCTATATTTGAAACAAAGCAAAACTGGCAGTCCTATCAGATTTATATGATAATATTTTTTCGCAGTCATTAGTGCACACGGAAAATAAAGCTGCATGAATAAAAGGAGATGTGATGTATATGTCAATGAGACGGCAGCCCAACTACATAAATAACCAAAAGACATCTAAAGGGTGACGTGTAATCTTCAACATTAGACAGGTGTCATAACAACATGTCATATAAGTGCTATCAGATTTATGTTTTTTTTTCAGCCAGCAGTGTACACGGAAAATTAAGAGTGAAATAGAAGGAGAATCAGATGTGGGTTATACGTCGATGGAACAGCAGCCTAACGAATGAAATAACAAAATAAAAAACACCAGCTTGATGCATACATTCAGTCTTCGACAAATAGACAGGTGACCACACAATATGTCCGCTCTTAATTGTCTCGATTCCATGAAAGATTTATATATTTATAAACTCAACAGAAAATATCAAAGATCTGCTATTAACACTCAATTCTCTAAATTAAAAGAGGGGGGGGGGGCATTACGATATGACATGCGAACACTAACGACAACGTTCCTGGCGTGGACACACACTTGTTAAAGGAAAATTTAACGAGGTGAAACTAAAGTTGTGATTTTTTTTAATCTCAACCATCCCCCTTTTATCTTACAACATTCTAGGCGTTAAATAGGAAAAGTTGCATCTAAGAATTGACCCATCGCCTCAACGTACGGGTTTCACTCAGTCCCATCGAGAACTAAGTTCCCAACAGAAATAGACTGTAATTACTAGACTGCGGTTAGATTACAAATCTTGCAATGCAAACTTATATGTACAAATTATTTCATGAAAAAGGTATAATAATACGGATAATTTCAAAGTTTTGCAAAATTTGTGCTTGTTATCAGGAAAAAACCATGATAAAGACTCATTTTATGATTGAGTCGTTGTTTAAATTTTTTTGGAACTTTTTAATTTCAATCTTTGCAGATCACAACTTCAAAAAAGACGAAAAGTGCCAAAAACTCCACAAACGTACATAATACGTATATAACGATCCAGATTTTTGCCAATACCTTCTCTGAGGGAATTTTGCAAATTGAGTACTATATAAGGTTTTCAAACCTATACATCGTATGCTAACCTCAGAAAGAAATAGCTTGTTTTGTTTCGTATTAGGTTCGGAAAACGATTTTTTTTGTGTTTGTGTTTTACTTTTGCTCTTTTGCATTGTTTTAGATTTTTTATTTTTTTTAAGAAAAGGGGGGCGCCATGAAATAGGTCTTTTTAATGATAAACATCAGCTATAAAATGCGATTATATTTTCAACGTTTTAGTAAAAAGGTAACAACTTTTTGACACATAAACATTAAATATGAATAAAAGGAGATGCAAGGTATAATGCATAAAAAAAAAAACAGCAATCAACAACACACAACTGAACGGCATGAAATTCGCTATTTTTACTTTATTAGATTGTCAGTTAAAATATGCACCACTTTTCACGTGCAAAGGGTGGTGTTTTAGTTATGACGTGTATTAGAAAAACACTTAGAATTCTGGCGCGACTTTCTTCGGCGCAGGCCTACGTATAAAATAGGCGAGTTACAGTATTGTGCAATACCGTCAATCTGAGTAGATGTACATTTTATATCACAGTAGGGAATCGGCAATAAACGAAAAAAACGCATAATTTCATCGTAAACGATTAAAACTGCTAAGGTCTAAGTCAGAGTCACACTGGCATAACCGATCCGTGAGTGTAAAAGCAAGTCATTAGTCGAAGTTGACGTCAGTATGGTACCAGATGTAACGGAACTGTGGAGAAACACTCCCCTGAGTTAACCATGCAGAGAAGGTGTCAATTTAGTCAATCGTCTAATGAAAAAAACAGGGAGAGGATCTGAGAAATCGGTCTACACTGCAGTGTAAGAGGAAGAATCAAATGTTAACACTGCTGAAGAAGCAGTTACAGTGATTACACCCAGACAGAATATTACAGAACAAATCTTAAGACAATTGGATATCGGAAACGGTTCTTTTTAGAGTCACAAAATCATTTCAAAAAGATTTTGAATATTGTTGAATTAAAAACGTATAATTGCGAAAGAAGGAGAGTTTTTTTTTCATTTCCTTCAGTCTTTTTTTTAGTTTTCGCTTATTTATATTTTTCTTCAGAAAAATAATAAGACTTATATGTATAGCGTGCAGGGACGTCTGCGCTAATTTTTCAAAATAGTTTATGTGTAAATTCTTTTATTTTTCGCTTGACATCCAGAAGGTATTGAAACACAAATTTGGGCAAGGTCACAAAGAACATACAAGAAAGTAGTACATTTGTAAAACAGAATAGTTCCTACGCATAGCTGCAACTTTGTCAAAAATAAAAAAAGGAGGGTTATTTTGGTTTCAAATGAAAACTCAGGGTCTTGGGATCACAGTAGAACTCTTGATGAAAATTTCTGATGAATAACAAAATAGATATATGAAATTATGATAGGGGACATATTTGCCCTGATACTCAGTACAGAAGTGCCTGTTTTATACTACCCAACTTCGGGAACCAATGCGCTGTAATATGCAATTTAAGATATGTCGAATTTTCAGCACAGCCAAGTCAGGATAAGGCATAGTTTTGCTATGAAATGACTACCAGTTTATTTGAACTTAAGACAAAATAGCTATAAATGTTTAAAATTGCATGATTTAACATAGAAAGCTATGTATTAGTGGTCTTATACCAGAAAACACATTTGAAGGAAATGCGTGTCTGCGTTTCTGTAAAATTCTTTCTTTCTTTCTTCACTCAGAAAATACCAAAAAAAAAAGCAAATGTTTAAGTAGACTAGACACACGCGAAA